AGTTAGGAGTCACTTGGCAATCACCAGCTCCACTCCCCCAAATGTGTAAGTCATGACATTAGTTATGCTAATTATGATGTCCAAGGATCACCATTATCTGTTTCCAAATTTTCCCATCACCCTTAACAGAAACCCAGAGGCTTCCTTTTACATAATTCCTTTCAACAAAGTTGTGCATATTTTCTGAGAGCCTATATTGGGCAAGGCCCCAAGCCAGGTGTGCTGGAGCACGTGAAGATGGATGGCATGGCCCTGCCCCTGAGCCTACAGCCTATGGAGGACTTGCAGAAGAGTCACAGTGGGCGGTGGGCTTCTCAAATTTCGCATCTTAGACTTCTTCACTGCTCAGCATTGGGCTGGGTGCACAGCAGGTTGACAAAGTGTTCACATATGATCAGATTCAGGGATAGTTCCACTGCCCCTCAAGGTCCCACCTCTGTCTTTGAACCAGTAACCCTGACAGACTCCAGCAGGGTTAAGTTCCCGCATATTTCTCCTTTTCTTTGTCCTTCTCTTGGCTGCCATGTCTCTCCTCTCTTCAATCCATCTGGTGTGTCCTGGTCAAGCACAGAATTCTCATTTGACTTTATCTTTGTGTTTCAGATTGGAGCCTCTCTGTTTGCTAGTAACATTGGAAGTGGCCACTTTGTGGGACTGGCAGGGACTGGAGCAGCCGCAGGCATCGCCATGGGAGGCTTCGAATGGAATGTGAGTAACATTTGGGCCACTGTGTCCTGGAACTGGAAGCAGACTTAGCAGTCACCCAGCTCAGCCTGTGCTCTGAGGAGCTCTGGAGAGTAGAGAACCCTTTGGGGCCACCTCAGGATGCAGGTGGAAGAGGGACACAGTTTCAGGAGCCCCAGAGTCCTGCTTTTCTTCCACTGGAGTAACATGAGAAAACCACTGATCTAGGTCAGCACTGGGGAAACAGAAACTTAGGGGTGAGTTGATGACAGTACATCTTCTCTTCTGCCTTACTATTGAAAATTCACTACCATCCAGCCATATTGGGAACTCTGGTGGCATAGTGCCTAAGACACTTGACTGCTAACCAGAAGGCTAGTGGTTTAAACCCACCAGCCACTCCTCGGAAGGAAGTTTGGGCAATCTACTTCCGTAGTGATACTGCCTCAGAAACCCAAGGAGGGGTCGCTATGAGTCAGGTCTGACTCGACAGCACATAACAACAACAACAACAAAGATTACAGCCCAGGAAGCCATATGGAGCAGTTGTACTCTATCACATGGGGGGTGGCTATGAGTACGAATTGACTTGAGGGCACACAACATAACATCATCATTTCTATTACTATTGTTAAAAGGTCTCTAAATGGGATTTTACAGGGAAGAGCCAGAAAAGTCAGTGTCCTCTCTAGGATCTGATGCTTGATTGGCAGTTGGCAGCCTTCTGGCTCCCTTCCACTGTTGCCCAGCTCCTGTTCCCAGAGGCCAATCTAACATCTCGGGCCTTCTCCAATATCTGATGGCCCTTAGGGAGTTGTCCTTAGAGCCTAAAAGAGAAAATGCTGGGTGATTATTCTGAGCATGTGAGAAAGTATGTGCTCCAGGTGGGTGGGAATGGGGGGGCTCAAGGCAGTAGGGATGGATAAGGTTCCTCCTGGTTTGACTCTACCTCTTTTTTGGTTTCAGGCACTGATTCTGGTGGTTGTGTTAGGCTGGGTGTTTGTCCCCATTTACATTAAGGCTGGGGTAAGTATCTGCCCTGTCATTCCATTTCCTGCTGGCAAATATGATATGTGAGCTTAAAGGCAGAGAAGACTGAGGGGTAATAATTGGCAGAGAGCCTGTGGCTTGACTTTTGTTCCCAAGGTGTAAAGTTCCTGCCTGCCCATGGGTGCACTACAAAGGTCCACTTGGCCTGGGTCTGATTGCTCTCTTCAGGCTCATGACACATCCCTCTTGGAAATCCCCTAAGTAAACTCCCTCTGTTCAGAGTGTACTCTGAAGTATTATGCACTATCACCTTGGATGTATACTTGCACAGTACTGCTATGCACTTGCCCTTGATATATAGCTTCTGTCTTTGCCCCTTCATTTATAAACACCACCGACCCTTGTTTGCTGAGCACATAGCTCGTACCTGACTACTGGTGCATGATTGGTCTCCTGACCATGTCTCTGTCTCATATTGTAAACGGGACAGCTTTAGTATCATCTGTTCTATGAGATGGAATGAGCACCTATTAGGTGTAAACTCATGCGTTAGGTGCTAAAAGCAACACTGGCCTGACTGTGCATCTTTGAGAGTGTTGGTGACACATATCTGGTCCAGGAAACAATAGGTTCAGGGTTGAGGGTACAAGATAAGAAGTATGGTTGGAATTTGCAGAAAGGGAGTAGGAGGACAGCTGGGGAGGCCTGTAGCCTCCATCCTTGGCACAGCCTGTCTGCAGAGAGGGGGAAGTGCACATCCAGCCTGGTACCTTGTTTGGTGTACTGGAAAGATGTCGGCACTGTTATGACTGTTATGATGTCTTATTTGCAGTAGGTGCTCTATATAGGAATATATACATGCATATACATATATATTATTTCCTCTTTATCTAGGGCAAGGATCTGCTTTCTTGGTTATGGCCGGTCATGTATTCATTTGAAAACATAACTGTTTCAATCTGAAAGTGCCACTGAAACCTGTCCACCATGGGTAACCCTGCAGGTGTCTGAAATACTGATAGCCTAGCTCTGGTAGCCTAGTGCCTAAGGCACTTGACTGCTAACCAGAAGGCTGGTGGTTCAAACCCACCAGCCACTCCTTGGAAGGAAGATGGGGCAATCTACTTCCATAGTGATACTGGCTCTGGGCACCTTCTATGTGTTGGGATGATACCAGCTACCCTTGCAGCGGCAGGGCATATGAGACAGATAAGCAAAAGGCTGGAGGACTGGGACCATCTGGTTACTTCTCTGGCCAACAAGGGTTTTGAATCCTTGATCACGTCTCTGTGTCTCTGACAGTGTGGATCCCACTGTGCTGCTTGCTCTGGACCCTCCGGTCACTCTGGCTGGCAGTGACTTCTCTTGCATCCCACGCAGGTGGTGACAATGCCAGAGTACCTCCGGAAGCGGTTTGGAGGCAAGCGGATCCAGGTCTACCTGTCCGTCCTCTCCCTGCTCCTCTACATTTTCACCAAGATCTCAGTGAGTCTGCTACCCTGGGGGCATGGCCCTGACTGTCTCAGAACCTGCTTGGTCTCCCTCCCCACCATGTGCTGGCTCACCCCGAGGCTGCTCTACATGTTTCTGTTAACTGGGCACCTTAGGCCTTCTTGCTCTTAGGGGAAAGTCCTATTTCACATGTCAAGGAGCCAACAACACATGAAACTCCTTATCCTCCACCTGGTGCAGCTGAAAACATAAACGGATTCAGGGAGGCTCAGTGAGAGCTGTCCTTAACAGAAGACTCATAGAGAGTTAGGGGTATCTAAGGGCTGACCCAACCTTAGAGGCAGCCATGGGCCTTTATGCCCTTCAGGGTCAGAACCTAACTCCATGTGTCATTTCTGTGTGCTTAACTATGGGCAGTCAGAGCCAACTCTTGAAGGGACCTTAGAGATTGTCTGGTGAGGTCCCACCCTCTTCTTTTATGGACAGGGAAATGGACTTCCTGAGGATGGAAAGTACTTACTCAGGATCCTGAATCAGGAGAAGATCCTAGACCTCTGCTTCCAATTTACTGTCTTTTTTACTGCACATGTCTCCTTGTATTCACTTGAAATCAGCTCCCTGGGCCTTCAGTCTCTGGTGCTTATGTTTGTGTGTCAACATGGCTAGGCCTGGTTGAGTGTCTGGGCAGCTGGTGGTAGTTATTCCCCATGATGAGACTGGCAATCATCTCCACGGTGGGATCTACTACAAGCAGCTGAGTAGTTGCCTTGGGGATGTGGTCTGCTTCCTGTATGTAAGGAGAAACCTTGGGAATAGTCTCTAGCCTATGGCACGCTTGGACCCTGCATATAGCCATGTTGTTGCTCAGCAGCCTGCTATGCTCTGCCTACCTTGGGACTTACAGTGGACTTAAGTTAACGGCCTGCCATGTGGTTTGGTAACATCAAGACTGTGCCTTTTTACTTGTCAACCTTGGGGCTTCTCAGCCTCAGCAGCCAGCAGCTGTCTGAGTGAAGAAATGCCTCTAGTTCCAGTGGGCTGGGAGCAGGAGGCAGAGCTGGATGCCAAGGTTGAGGGGCTTTCACCCAGTCCCTAGAGCCTGGCACTTTGAACTTGGACTTGAAGCCTCCAAACTAAGAGAATAAACTCCTGCTTGTTAAGACCATCCCATTTGTGATATATTCCTATCAGAGCAGCACTAGGGAACCAGAACAGTCCCTAACCTTCCTGGAGATTTTATTCTCTCTGAACCCAACCATTACTGTTAGTTGCCACTGAGTCAGTTTTGACTCATGGTGACCCTATGTGCCATAGAACAGAACATTGCCCAATACTGCACCATCAGTATGATTGTTGTATCTTTGAATCCATTAGTGTGGCCAATGTTTTGAGTGGCTTCTAGTCTAGGGGACAATGTTACATTGAGATACATAGGGTTTCCATTGGCTAATTTTTGGAAATAAATCACTAGGCCCTTCTTCCACAACAACTGTTTTAATCTGAAAGTTCTACTAAAACCTGTCCACCATGGGTAACCCTGCTGGTGTCTGAAATACGGATAGCCTAGCTCTGGTAGCGTAGTGCCTAGGCACTTGACTGCTAACCAGAAGGCTGGTGGTTCAAACCTGCCAGCCACTCCTTGGAAGGAAGGTTGGGCAACCTACTTCCATAGTGATACCACCTCGGAAACCCAAGTAGTTGGGTCTGACTCGACGGCAAATAACAACAAAAACAATAACTCCCAGCATCACCACAACATGCAAGTCACCACAGTAGGATGAACTGATGTTGACCGCTGCTCCTACCATTTAACCTGCTCGTTCTATCAGCCTGCAGCTGCGGGCTCCAACTGGCAGAGCTGAGATTTCCCAGGGATTGACTGGCTATTGGGGTGCATTTGAGAACTAGGTAGAGCTCTTGGCCGACCCACTGGAGCAAGTCTTGTACTCTTTTACTTCACTGTTTCTTCCTTGAAAGTGTTCAAGTCAATTTCCCTTGATGGTAGAAGCAAAACAAAAAGTCCTGGAAACTACTGATGTTCTGAGATATTCCTTTGACAGCCCAAAAGTCAATGGGAAGATAAAAATTTGCTTACAGATTTTGGTTGGCGTTTTTCTGTGTCCAAGATGATCGTGAGTCTGATAAAATTTAAAGCAATAATAAAAAAAAAAAAAAAAAAAAAAAAAAAAAAAAACTTTAAAAAAAAAAAAAAAATAAAAATAAAAAAAAAAAAAAAAAGGAAATGTGAATGATAAGGAATAAGAGAAAGAAAATAGAAACTTGGTAGGAAAATTACCTAAGAAAACTATCTTGGAAGAAGGTGGGGCTTTGGAAGAACTTGAACTCCTCATCTTCTGTCTTCACTAGCAGGTCACCTGTCTTACTGCTTATACTATGGAGCTCTGGTGGTGCAGTTTTTAAAGAATTTGGCTGCTAGCCATAGGTTGGCAGTTCAAACCCACTAGATGTTCTGCAGAAGAAAAATAAGGCAGTCTGCTTCTGTAAAGATTTACAGCCCTGGAAACCCTATGGGGCAGTTGTACTCTGTCCATTAAGGTTGCTATGAGTCAGAATCAACTCTATGGCAGTGGGTTTGGTTCTTGGTGGGCTCATGGCTAAGATGGAGATAATATTGCCTTTTTACCTGTATCTGGGTGGTGATGAGGATCAAGTGAATTTATTTGGAAGACATAAAATGTTGTTGGGATGTGTGGTATATGTTGATGATGAACATAGCTAATTGAAGACACTCAACATTCCTGGGTGAGAAGCTCCTTGGGTTGCAGTGGGGTAGGGAGAGAAGCTGATGTTTTCTGAGATCACAGAAGGAATGGATCCAGCTTTTTTTTTTTTCCTAGCCAGCAGTTATAAAGTGCTTGCTGCTCTATCTGAAGGGTTATCTCATTAGCTGTGGTTAGTTTTCCTTGTCCCCTCCATCCAGCACCAAAGTCCTTAATTGAGATGACCAATCTCAGCATCTTGCAAAGGATCTGCCCTGGCTGAGACCTGAGTTGAGTTGGATCTGAACTGAACCTTCTACCCCAGCTATGTTGGGTGCTGAAAAAAAAAAAAAAAATCCAGCTGGCTAGTGTTTTTCTTCTCCTGCTTACTGAAAGCTGAGATGGCACCAAGATTAAGTAACATTTGCAACTTTATATTATGGAAAATTTCAAACATACCAAAGGAGAGAGAGAGAGAATAGTATAAGATGTGCTCCAAGACCTCATATTTTATCACTCAGATTCAATAATTATCAATATTTTTCCATTCTAGGTTTGTCAATCCTCTCTCTCTCTCTCTCTTTTTGGCATTATTTTAAATCAAACCCCAGACATCATGTCATTGCTCTGTAAACTCTTCAGATTGTATCTCTAACTTTTAAAAAAACATAACCATTGTACTATCATCACTCCTAACAAAATTTACAATGATTTCTTATTTTAGGTGATTAAATATCTGATCCATATCCAAATTTTCCTAATTATCTCAGAAAGGTCTTATCACAGTTGGTTTGTGTGAATCAGGATCTAAACTAGGTTGAGGCATTTTATTGTTATTTCTTTAAAGGGAATATGTCTGTATAGATCTTCAGCCTACCACAATTGTTTTCTCTTTTTATGTCCTTATTTTTCATTCCTGAGCTACATGTTTACCTATTTATTTTATTGAGTTATTTATCTTTTTTGTTGTTGACTTGTAAGACTTTTTTTTATATATTCTGGACACTAGACCCTTATCAGATATCTGATTTGCAAATATTTTTTTCCTGTTCTATTGTCTTTTCACTTTCTTGATTGCACCCTTTGATGTATAAATGTTTTCAATTTTGATGAAGTCCAAATAGAAGTCTGGTTTTGATGAAGTTCAACAGAGTTTTCCTCTGTTGCTTGTGCATTTGGTGTCATTTCTAAGGATCCATTGCCAAATCCAAGGTCATGAGGATTTACATCTATATTTTCTTTTCAGCGTTTTATAGGTTTAACTCTTATACCAAACTGAACCCATTGCCATCGAGTCATTCTGACTCACAGTGACTCCCACTGGGTTTCCGAGACTGTAAATCTGTACAGAAGTAGATCGCCTCATCTTCCTCCTATGGACCAGGTGGTGGGTTTGAACTACTGACCTTCTGGCTAGCAGCCAAATGCCTTAATCCACTATGTCACCAGAGCTCCTTCTTAGCTCTTCTAGTTTAATAATATTATAGTTTAGGTCTTGAGTTAGTGTTGTGTATTGTGTGAGGTAGGGGTCTGATGTGTGAGGTAGGGGTCTGAATTAGTTCTTTTGCATGTGAATACCCAGATTCCTAGGACAGTGTGCCAAAACTATTCTTTCCTTACTGAATGGTCTTGCACAAATGTTTTTACGCAGCTCAGTGGAAATATGAACTTCTTGAGAAGACCAATAAGGCTTTGTTTTGGAGTTGAGACTGACACCCAGGAATGATGCCCTGTCCCTGCTCGGCATCCGGTCACTGCTACTACCCCTGACCTTTGTGCTGTCTTCACCAACCTGATGACTCCAGCTGCTTCATTTTCTCGTCCTCTTCTTCAGGGTCAGGTTTTCATTACAAAATAAAAACCCTGGGCTTTGTGGTCTGATGTCATTAGAGACCTTGGCTAGGAAGTCCTGGGAGGGGTGGAGAAAGCAGGGGTCTGGCTTCCTAAGGGAAGGAAGTAAGAGGAGAAAAGGGAGGCTGTGAAGATGAGGCACGAAGGAGCAAGAGGCTGGTTAAGGGTCCTGTCCTCAGTTGAGCTGTGAGATGGCACGTAAAGGCTTCCCTTGCTAGGAAGCAAGTCTTCTCTGAGTCCACAGTTCAAACAGGTGAAAGTCTGTTGACTGCAGTTGCCATGGAACAGGCACTCTTTGCCCTCAGAGCTGGGGTCGGGGCAGTTGTATAAAGGAACTGCGTACCCAGCCTCTCTCCCTGCCTTCCAAGGCCTTTTTTTTTCTAGGTTACTGATTAAACTGCTTTAAACTTGGGAGCCTACAGGTAGCCAAGGAGCTACCTCGCTCAGTTTGGTCTTGAGGGA